GGTGGAAGGAAGCCCTGGCATGTCCCACCCCTGTGGTCTGATGCCCACAGCAGCACAGATTGAGGGTTTTTGCAATGCCAGACTGGGGAAGGAGCCATGCATGGCTCACTTTGCAATGCCAGACGGGAAGGAGCGTGTGTGTGTGTTGGAGGAAGGGGGAGGAGGATGTGATGATCCTATGGGATTCTTAAAAACATGAACAAACTGGGAAACAATCCTGCAAGTTGAGCAGGTTGACTGAGTGACCGGGGTTGAGCAGATAGGAGACGACTTCTTTGCTGGTGGCAATATGGGAAGACCGAGCAACGCGTGCTGGGCAGAGGTGGGATGGGACCCTACCAGCCCCCGGCCACCCACTCACCCTGGGGATGAACTCTGTCCCGGCCACTACAGTTACTGTCCCATGAAAATGAGGATGCACAAGACCCTTGCAGGAAATACAGCCTGAATGTATGCCATCTTACTGCAAGGAGGAAGGCCATGTTTTGTGGCTCCCATCACTGCCTTTATCTTCACCTTTCCCCGTATAACTTGTCTCCCCATTGCTTCGTGCTAGCCCCAGACCTCTCCTCCTTCCTCGGGCAAAGCTGCCACTGGAGACCACCGAAGACGAAGGGGTCCCAGCTAAGCTCCAGTGAGTCTGGGACGAGGGTGCTGAGATCAAGCCCTAAGCCACAGCGGGTTTCAGACCTGATGCTCGCGGCCGGCAGGGCCAAGCCAAGGTAACGAGCAGACAAGGGAGGAGAAGCCAGGCCTCGCACCCGAACGCTGCGCCGCTTCTCTTCCTCTCGTTTTCTATTTCTAGCTCTTTTTACAAGGTCCCATCCGGGCGGCAAGTCCAGGCTTTCCCACAATGCTTTGCTGGCCTCGAAATTCTGCCAAGCCAGCCATACATCTGGTGCCGATTAGCGGAAAGTAAAATATACTTTAGTCCTGCTTTGTTTAAAGGCATCATCTGAGTCATTAAGTGAGATCATGGATGCTCATGTGCAACGAAAAGCACCGTACGGATCTCATGATCGGTGCGCAATGGCTCCATCCGCACGGGCCAGGGCTCTGCCTGCTGCCAGGAGCGCGGGTCCTGGTCTTTGGGGCCGGGCAGGGCTATCTGTGCAAGGCAAGGTGAGGTCTAAAAACTCTGACTACAACCCTTCTGCAGCAAACCTTTTCTTCTGGCCTCTCTTCCTCTCCTCCCTCTCCCCAGCTCTGTGACTCCAGTTCTTTCCCACCCTTTAATCTAAATAAATCCGAGCGTTTTTTGGCTGGAACTGTCCACAATTGCAACATCCCGCCTCTGGGGTCCTCGGGCTCCCATGACACCGCGTTTACTCACAGGCCAGATTACCATGCAAGAGCCCTTTCTTTTTTTCCCAACACATGGCTGGAATTAGGAAGCGTGCACACATATGGAGAGACTGTCTTTCCAGGCTCATAAACAGGGGATGATAAAGCACAGAGGTAGGAAATCTGAAACCGAGCTGGGGGGGCGGAGGGATGTCTCGGGAGACTCAGGGTACATCCAGGCATGCTGAATGAATGCTGAATCTCTTTCCGGGCTTCTATCTAGACCATCTGGAGAACCACCCAGGGGCCAAACCTCTGTCATCCTGCGGTCCGCCAGCCATTCGTGCCAGGGCAAAGTGGGCGTCCACGGCACCCGTGGTCTGCTGGAGTTTGCACAGCCAGAAATGATGGCCCAAGGTAGGCCAATGTGATTGTGTTGTACGTCACTCTGGAAGCAGAGGAAGAGGTGCATGCTTTACCTCTTCCAGCCCAGCTAACGGAGACCCCCAGCATTACAGTGACCCCATACCTAGCACCTCTGAGCAGGTTCTCCAGAGTCCCTGGGTCTGCCCCAAGGCACAGAGTATCAGCCCCAGATGGGGACGGATATCATAGACAGCGGCAACTTCCAGTAGCACCCCCTGCCTTTCATGAGCTCTACATCAGACTGCTCCATAAAAGATGATCCCCTTGTGAGCCAAAAAGGATCGCACGTGGCTGCAGAAGGTTTTCAAATCCATATTTAGGGTCTGAATAAAACCTGCCCTGTTTACAGGGGCGCTGAGCAATCCCACCCCGAGGCTGCTGGGATCGCAGGGCACTTGGCACCTCGGGAAATCGGGTGACCTTCATTCAGGTGCCGAGGCGGGGATGTAGGTGCCTTTCCTGAGAATGGAAATTGTCACTGTCAAGTCTAGTTACTTTTGTGGGACCAGCCTCATCAGGGACCTCCGCTGAGGCCCAGCTGGGTACAGCCAAGACCACCATCAACTGAGCATCCTTTTCCGCAGGCAGCACAATACTGGAAGGCACCTCCCGTCTGGCTCCAACCAGGGCCAAATCCTTGGCTGGTATCAGCCAAAGTGGCTGCCCTGAAGTCAATGGAGTTGACTAAGTGGCTCTGGCTGGCAACCAGGCTCCAGCATGAGTCACAAGCGTTATCCAGAGCAGGCAGGAGGGTGGGCTACTGCAGCGCTTCCATCCTTGCAGGATTTTAAGGCCCGGCTCGACAAAGCCTTGGCTGGGATGCTGTAGCTGGGGCTGGTCCAGCTTGGAGCAGGGGTTGGACTAGACGTGACCTGAGCTCCCGTCCAACCCTCATTTTGTACAAGTCTATTCTAACCTGCCCCTTACTGACCTCCCCTGATGCCAGGCAGCTTTGGATCATCATAATCTTGATGGTTATTATTAAGCATCGCTCTAGCTCTCTTACCCTCCTCTCCTCGCACTCACCAGAGCTCGTTGTAGTGCCCCAAATGCTCCCCTCCCCTCCCCTCGGTGCTCTCACTTGAGAGGCTGGCAGCCATCTCTGAGCCAATGGGTCCCAATTTGATGACACCATTTCTCAACCGTCCCACAGCAGAAACTCCCACTAGCATCCCATATCTTCATGAACTCTACACCAGCCCCAGAAAAGATGAGATCTGTCGCCATTCAGCCCTGTCCCTCTTAGCCTTGTTCCCAGAGTAATTCGGCGAGGAAAGGGAAGCCGAGGGGAGGTCGGCCTCGTCGAAAGGACGCTGCTCCTGCAAAGTCTCCGCTCCGGGATAACTAAGTCAGTGTCTCCGAATGCACCTGCCTTCCCCGGGCCCCTTGTCCCCCACAAGCTTCCAGCCACCAAGGCTTGGTCCCTGCTCTTTCTATGCTGCACATATGAAGGCCACAACCCAGAAAGAGATGGGGAGGGTGCTGGGAAGGGTGGCACATGCAAGGGCACACAGCGTGGGTTTGCTCGGTGGCGGCCGTGGGGTGGAGGTTGGCTACGCAGCCCCTGAGCCTGTTGCATCCCTGAAGGGTGAGCTGTGTTACACGCTGGATGCGCGTGCGTGAGTGGAAGCGAGCGTCCAGCTGCATGTGAGAAAGCAGGCCCACACGTGGCCTCGTGGCTCGGCCTCCGCTCACAGAAGCACAAAGCCTCGCTCTCCGGGATGCGCCAGGGGACATGAGCAGGGGGTCGTGCCCTGCTTCCCCCCTGAGCCATGCACCCCTTGCAGACCCCCGGGAGCAGCAGGAAGCGAGTGACCTCTTCTGTGCAAGTTCCAAATAAAACGAACCATCTGTTTGGAGAGGCGCCAGGGTTATAAATACCGACTCCCCTGCCCCATCGGGCCCACGTCCCTCTCCCGCTCAGCTGCGCATGCTTCCTCCGCCTCCGCCTTCAAAACACAGACCAGGCCTGGGGCTCGCTGGGCTATTCCTGACAGCGAGGGAACTTGGAGCCGTCTGTGGGAAAATGTCCCGTAGCCTTAGCAGCTGCAGCCCGGAGCAGGGGCTGGGGGCTCACCTGGGGAGGGGGACGGGAACAAGGGAAGGGGGAGGAAGGATGGAAGAGTTTGGAGAAGCCGTGTGCCGAGCAGAGATGTGGGACGAAGCGGGGCCGTTGCACGGCGTGGCTGACTGCCCATCCCTCACCCAGTGCCCCGCCAGCCCCGTCCCTCCACCCGGCCAGTGCAAGCATGCTCCACTGAGAGCCAAAGCCGGGCTCAGCGGGGTGCCTGCATGGGGAACCGTGACACCAGCTTCACTTGTGACCGGAGCTGGGATTTCCCATCAGGTCTCCTGCAGCGCAAGGGCAGTCCACTCCTCTGCTGGTCAGCTTGGAGCAGAGGGCCCCGGCATAACTCCGCTGCCACGCATGGCAGAGGACCGCATGTAGCCTTCCTGCGGTCATCACCCATGTCACAGACGGGGCAGAAAGCCCTGGCCTGGTCCGAGGTGTGGGCGGATGTGGGCAGCGGGTGCTCTCTCCGGGAGGGCAATAGGGAAGGGGCATGCACAGTTCCTCCATGGGCCCAGCCGGCCCAGTTCTGACTTATAGCTAGCTCCAGCAGGACTTGGCTGGGGACTCCTGCCGCTGCACTGGCTCTAGTCATTGCAGCCAGCGGTTCCAAGCCACAGTCAGGCCCATCTTCTACAAGCCCAAATATACCGTCCTTCCCCACCACAAATGGAGGAGCAGCTCGGCAGCACGAGGCAGCCCGGCAGGGTCAGCCAAACCTGTGGGTCCAACCCTGGCAACGACACTGACCCCTCTCCACGGCCTTCGTCAAGTCACTTTGCTGCTTTCCCCCACTCAGTCCCTCCGGCGAATGCTATGTGCCTGCCCTGCAGGGATTGCTAGCCAGTTGTATAAGACCCTGACTCTGAGATGCCTGAGCACTGCCAGCACCAGTCGTTGGGTGCCCTGCCTTCGCAGCAGGCGGGCAGGGGCCGGTGAACTCCCGGCCTGGATGCGGGCACTGCTCAGAGGGGCCCTGCATTTCAGAGCATCTCGCTGCTCCTCCACTGGTCCTGCCAGCTGGGTGGGATCAGAGAGAGCAGGGGTGGGAAGCAGGGATGAGAAATACTGCTTTGCCAGAGTATGCCACAGCCCAAGGCTGGCTCTGAACTCTCCCGAACAGCAGGCGGCAAGGCAGAGAGACCTGTTAAGCCTTTGGCACAGGCAGGGCCTGCTATCAGGGCCTACTCATCTTCCCCCTGCACCTCGAGGGTCCTACCTTATCTCAGAGCAGTTTTTCCATTGCAACCTCTGTGCTGGAGTTGGCGGGTCCAGGGCCGGAAGTGAGATACCACCCCGGTCCCTCCGGCTGGGCACTTGGCCACCTCGGGAGAGGGGAGCGGAGGCTTTTTCTCAGGCAGGTTTGTCAGCTGGCCAGAAAGCTGTGCTCTGTCCTCCCTTAGTAATTAAAGGGAAATGCCTTTCTAAGGCATACATGAGAAAAAAAAAAGCCCCTTCTCCCATGCGTGGGAGGCTTTCCATCAAAGCCCTCAGCTGTGATCAGCTCGGGACTGTCGCTGCCGCGAAGTCGAACCTGGAGCAGTGACTCCCGGGAGCCTCCTGCGTCCTGACGGGCTGTAATTATTTCCGAATCCGAAGGAGAGAGAGGCTCTGAGGAGGGAGGCACGGAGGGAGAGGGAAGAGGAACGGGAGCTGCTCCCCCCTTACATGCCTCTGCTGATTTCCAGCCCCCCCTGCACAGACAGGCAAAAATGCCAAGGAAAAATGAAGCCCCGAGCCACGCTGGGAGCAGCTGGCAGGGCATGATCCCAGCACACGACGGGGAGCGGAAAACTTCCGTGAGAGGCAGGTCCGGCGGGGCAAGGAATCCCCGTGGATGCATTTGCTCCTCCAGCTGCGAGGGACTGGGGCTTAATTTGTTCGTTATGGGGCTTCTCGGCCTCGCGTCCAGGATTAGCTGCTCACCCGAGCTAGGGTCAGGCAGGAATGGCTTGGAAAGGCCTCTGGGAGCCTCGGCCTGTTTGCAGAGCGTCGACCGGGGATTAGGCGGGCAAATCCCAGCAGGTTGGGATCCAAGGGCTGCTCTGAACCCATGGGGAGGGGGCTTCCTCGCTCTCAAGCTGGGACTCAGGAGCCCGGCTGCTGCTCCTGGCTCTGCCACCACACTGCTGGGCAGCCATGGGCAAATCACTTCACTTCTCTCTGCCTCTGTTCCCACCCCCCAACCACTGCTTTTTGAGGTCTGCAGGAACCCCAGTCGCAGACTGTGCGGTGCTGGGCGCTGTACAGACACCGGAGCAAAAAGACGCCTTGTGCCCCAAAGAACCGAGTTGGGTTTATCTCGACAGAGAGGAGTCTCCGTCCCAGCTGAGACTTCCTAAAAATAAGGAACATCACGTGAAGGAATTGGGAAGAGGCGCTGGCTGGACAGATATCCCTGTGGCGCAACCGTGCCTGTTGGCCGTGGCTTGCAAAATCTAGGGCACGTGAAAGAGCATGGCAGGGAGCTGCAGGCAGAAGAGAGGCGAGGCAGGAGGGAGGGCAATGGAACAGGAATGGTCTGATACGGCACCGAGAGCCTCTGCTGAGCTGCCACGCGGACAGCGTAACACGGGGGTAGGCAGGGCAGAGAGATGGCAGGGGTTGGGCAGCACTGTCTTGGGGCTGAAGCGCTGTTATGGGCTCTCTGGCTTGGCTACCCCCTTTCTGGGCCACTGCCAGGTAGGATGGCACCTGGGGGATTGGGCACAGTTGGGCCGGGCATGTGCAGGAGGGTGATAGTGTGGACAATTTAGCTTGCTCTGTGCTTCGGTGTAGCAAGGGGGGCTGGAGGCCTAGACTGCTGCTGCGCTAGCCACTTGGAGACCCCCTACCGAGCAGTCACAGAGACACAAATCATCCCAAAGGCCGCTTCCTCTCTAGCATAAGCCTTCATGACCCAGGGATAGCACTGGACCACCCAACATCCCAGTTGGAACCAGTAGGCAGGAGGTTTCCTGCCAGTCTGAGCCGTGGTAGGAATTATTCCCATCAGCACTGGTTCGCCGTGGGGAAGATGGAGCAGTGAGTGGTGCAGAAGGGAAGCCACGGACAGCTGTCCTGGGGGCAGGCAGACGGAGGTCGGCAGGGGCAGACCAAGGGGAAAGGAGAAGCCCATGAAAAATTTGGTGTCTGTCTTTTAGGAGACAGAGGCGCAGAGAGCGTTTTACTCCCTGCGCTCCCTCGTCCCCACCATGCTCTCCCTGCCACGGGGTGCTGGGGGTGCCATGGGGTCAGAGAGGGACGGGGCATTGCAAAATGCCAGGATAGGGTTACCCACGGTGGGGCAGAGGGAAGGCAGGGGGCATTTCCCCTGCCTCCTTATAACAGCAAGGCCGAGAGGGCAGGCAGAGAGCTGTGATATACCCGCCATCGCCCTTCGCCCTGCAGGCATCATCAAAGCAGGAGTGAAGGGTTGTCCTGATGGATGCCACCTGCTACTACCAGCCTCCCCACGCGGCACCGTGAGGCAGGCTCCCCTCCCGTGGCCATGTGGCCCCGAGTCCAGCCAAAGCCCAGCTCTGTTGCGAGGGGCAGCAGAGAGGGAGGCACGTGACAACCCGCTGGGGGCATCCCAAGAGCCTGGCGCTGCCCCAGGAGACACCAATCCCACCGCTGGGCTGGGCAGGGAGGAGCACCCAGGTGACAGCTCTGGGCTTATGCCCCAGCCGCCCGGCAGCTGCCCTCCTGTCTACCCTTGACCCCACCTGGGTGTGCAAGCCGCCCCTGTCCTGAAGACCCGACAAGCACCTTGGGAGGCACCTGAGCTGCGCTTCGGGGCTCTGGCTGCCGCCGTCCATCCGCTCTGAAACTTAACCTCCCTCCTCGGTCGCCCGATGGCAGCTTGCAGAGCCCCACCAGCCCCTCGGTCACTTCCGTGTCCTCCTGAATAGCCTGCCCAGGATGGGGATGGCGGTGGGGGGCACTTGGCCGCTCTGCAGAAGGGGGCTGGGGCTGGGAGGTGAGGCCCCGAAAGCCCCCGAAAGCCCCCAACCCTTTACACAAGTGGCTCTTCTATTCCGCGGCCATTTCCGAGGCAAAGAATTTGAAACCGAGGTGACTTCCAATCTGCAAGGGGAGAATGCGCCTTCAGAAAGAGAGGCTCGAGATGGTTTATTTTCTCTTGGCCCCAGTTCAGACAAACCCACAAGCAAACATATTTTCTGTATAAATAAGACAGTGTGTCTCGCCAGTTAAAGCAATTCAAACATGAATGTAGCGATTTAATTGGTGCCAATTACTGTGTCTCGGTAGCATTAAGATTTCAGTCACAGCCCCTTCAAGGGCTGGACGGGCCAAGGACGCCGGGGCAGCGAAGCGGGCGCGCAGGCGGGAGCAGCGGGACACAGCCCTGCAGGGATCGGGCTCTCAGATCACCTGCCAGGCGGCTCCTCCGTGTAACCCCCGTTGGAGGGGGCAGTACGGGGGGTAGGGCTTGGGGAGAATAAGCCCCCTTCCCTACCCGAGAGGAAGCCTTTCCAGAAGGGCAGCTCCCTCCATCGAGGGCTGAGATCTTTGATTCATAGATTCATAGATTCATAGATGTTAGGGTCGGAAGGGACCTCAATAGATCATCGAGTCCGACCCCCTGCATAGGCAGGAAAGAGGGCTGGGTCTAGATGACCCCAGCTAGATGCATGTCCAATCTCCTTTGGGGAAGGGTTTCCTCTTCTCCCGGGGAGGCAGAAGCCCAGAGCCGTGGGGCTGGCAGGGAGCTGTGGACGTCACATCTAGTCCGCTCCCCTGGATCGGCCCTGTCCAAGCCCTGCCGGACAAATCCAATGTCTAATCCACTAGCAAAACTACAGCCAGGCACGGGACATCACACAGGTACAGCCGGGGGCCCGCGGCAGCCACTGTCCTGCTGTCGCAAAGGTTGTTAATGTACTCTGGAGAGATCCAAGGGAAATGGCCCCGGAGGAAGGCAGATAGGAGCCTTTCCGCCCCCCCGGCTCTAGGGGCTTTGAGGTCCGTGCTTGTAATGTGGGCCCGTGTCTGCTCCGAGGAGGACCCGGGCTGGGTGGGCCGCGCCGCGCTGAACGTCAGCGGCTCTTTCGGGCGCTGGTTTTCTGCACGGGCCCTTTAAGCTGCAGCGCGCTGGCGCTCATCATTATTCTGAGTCTCTGACATTTATAGAGCTCTTTTCATCATGCTGGGAGGGAGGCCGCATCCAACCAGTAGTGCTTGCTAGCAGCGGTGGAGAGGAAGGGCCAGCTGCTGGCTCATGCTCCCCCCACCATGCAGTGCCCTGAAGGAAGGGGCACGGCCAGCTATGCACCTCCTGGGCAATGAGCTCCCCCTGCCCTCAGCACTCCCAGTCCCTCCAGGCCACCAGCCGCCTGCTTCACTCAAGGCTGCACAGGCCCACTCGGTCTCCTCTGCCACAGCCCTCCTGTGTGACCTTGGGCAAGTCACTTCACCCTGCTGGGCCTCTAAAACAGAGCGGATCCTGCTCCACTGCCTATTTTGGCTGGGAGTTATTTGGGTCAGGTGCCACATCCGACTGTGCTTGGGGCTGCACACCCACAACTCGGCCTCCAGCTGCGTTGCAAACAATAAGCAGCGTTTTTGTGCCGCTCGGTTCCTGGAAGAGGGGGCAGCTCTGGAGACAAGAGTGCCTGGCGGGGGGTGGACAGTGGAGGAGGGCCGAGGTGCACTTGGCCTCAGGGAGCCTAATTAGGCATTGGGGGTGGGAGGAAAATTGAACTCGTTATGTCCTATTTGCCTGACAGAACGGAAGGAGCCTCCTGGAGTTGCTCCAGCCTCTCAGGGAACAATTCCCAGTTTACAGGCTCCCTCTAAGACCTTCTCCTGGGGACCCTGTCCCCGGGCTTCAAGCAGTGGGGAAAAAACAAATTTGCTCCCGGGAGAACACGGTCCCAGTCCTCCCTTGCGTTCCTGCTGTCCCGGCCCAAACCGAGAGCCAGGGCAGTCCCTGAGCTCTGGTCGACACTGGGCCAAAGGCCGCCGTCCCCACGACAGCCCGTGGCACAGGCCATGGGCAGACTAGGCTGTTACAGTCACGAGTGGCCGACTCCAGACTCCAGCTTCATATGTCGGTAAGAAGTCTGCACGGCGGAGCCTCTGGACTTCTGTCCCAAGATGGGGCTGGATACTTCTTCCCTCATCTCCATGTCACCTCCCTGCTTGCAGGGCAGAGGCGAGCCTGTGATGCAGCTGTAGCTGGTAGGAGCCAAAAAGCAGGAGCAAAGGGTCATCCTTCTCCAGGACCCTGCAACCCAGGTCAGACCTGAACGGGGGAACTGAGCTCCTGTCACCAGGTTGCCGTCGGCTGCAGGCCACAGATCATAGACATGCAGGGTTGGATGGGAGCCCCGAGAAATGATCCAGCTCAACCCCTGCATGGAGGCAGGTCTGATACACCTAGAGAACTGCCCTGGCCCATGGTCATCTCACCCGCTCATAAAAACCTCCAAGGAGGAAGGGTCCAGGTTCTCTAGCTGAGGATGTTTCTCCGACATCCAGCCTAAATCTTCTGTGTTGCAAATAAAATGATTTCTTTTTGTCATAGATTCGTAGACATTCGGGCTGGAAGGGACCTCGGAAGATCATCGAGTCCAGCCCCCGGCCCAAAGGGCAGGAAGTCAGCTGGGGTCACAGGATCCCAGCAAGATAAGCATCCAAAATGGAAATCCCAGATGACAGCTCACTGTCCTCTCTACAACC